TTCATACATACATTCATAAATAAACATACATATTTATAACAGGTCTATTCATGAAGAAAAAACCTGTTATAGTATGTACATACATACATACGTACGTACATACAAACATACATACACACATACATACATACATACATACATACATACATACATACATACATACATACATACACACACACACACACACACATACATACATACATACATACATACATACATACATACATACATACATACTTACGCACATACATGTACATTTTGAACTGATGTATGTATGAAGATTATTGTATTGATCCTATCTCCTCTCTAAGCTGTTGTTTGTTGTTTGTTGTTGTTGTTGTTGTTTGTTGTTTGTTATTATTATTATTTGTTGTTGTTATTATTATTTTTTGTTATTAGTATTGTTATTATTGTTATTATTATCTTATTTATAATTGATTTATTATTGTTGTTGTCATCTTTAGTACGTTCGGCTGCTTTGCTTTGCACAACAAATATGTATTTGTATGTATGTGTGTGCGTGTGTTTGAGTGTGTGTGTGATGTGACGTGTGTGTGTGTGTGTGTGTTCGTGTGTGATATGTTTATGAACGGTCGATCGATAATTAATATGTCGTCCATTTGTTCCCATCAACGATCCAGACCCCTCACGGCGTTCATCATTCTTTCGTTCAATAGCTCGTTTCTTCATTCATTTATTTATACGTCTTCTCATTCATTCATTTATTCATTCATTCATTCATTCATTCATTCATTCATTCATTCATTCATTCATTCATTCATTCATTCATTCATTCATTCATTCATTCACTCACCCACTCATCCACTCATTCACTCATTCACTCATTCATTCGTCTACTCAATCACAGATCTAGTAGTAGTGACGGGTTCATTGGTTGTTCTGTCGTTCGGGTCGAACGGTCAGGTGTTTGCCACTTCAGCCATACGGGGGGTCAGATTCCTGCAGATCCTACGTATGCTGCACGTGGACCGGCAGGGGGGTACCTGGCGGCTGTTGGGCTCCGTCGTCTACATACACAGACAGGTGAGAGGGTGATGATGGAAGGAGAGAGGGATGAGGGTGATAACGTTGCGTAAAATCAATAATTAATTAATTAATAAATTATTTAATAGAGAAATAGTCATGATTAACAATACAAAAAGGTTTCTACCCAGTAATAATAATATCAATAATTATAATAGTAATAGTAATAACAATAATAATAATAACAACAACAATAATAACAATAATAGCAATAACAACAACAATAACTATAACAATAATAATAAGAATAATAACAATAACAACAACAACAATAATAACAACAACAATAATAATAATAATATTGACCAATCACAGGAGTTAATAACGACGCTGTACATCGGCTTTCTGG